AATTCAGAAAAACAACAAATCAATTTGTTTTTCTGAAAACATTGTTATCATGCTATATTGCAGAAATAGCATGAAAAATATGGTTTCTCTTTAATTCTTTTTATTATTAAATTTGAGTATTGTTATGTTGTTTCAGCGTGTGAATAAAATCTGTCAACAAATATACATAAATAAGTTTTTATTGCAAAGATCTTTCTGATAGAGCACAAGAAAAACTAAGGCAGTCACACAGATATTTTTCCTCAATACGCCAACGTCTGTTTCATTTTGGAAGTTAATATCAAAATGTGTTGTCAACATTGCTTATCGGGATCTAAAATCATAATGTTATTGACATATTAATTAATTACATCTAGAGTAAAAACCTATGCCATTCTCAATTGTGTCTACACATGTTTTATTCACACGAATAAAGATCAAAGGGTATCCTTGCAGAAATGTATTCTAATGTTGGTGCTACACCATTGAACACCTGAACACTGAAATATACATGTCATAGCTGGCAAGATAAGGCATAGTCAACTCGCGTATAAGTAAATGTTATTTATAAAACACATTTTAAACAGTCCGACCTATAATTCAATCGCAGGATCATGATTTGTTTTGGATCAGGGTACAAAGTGGTAGCAACAAATGCTCCAAAATAAAAAAAAAAATATGTTCCGACTGGTCGCTAGCAATGAGTGGTTGTGTGCACTTCTTTCAGAATAAGATGACCTTTCAATAATAAATGATGCACTAATTTGTTACAAAATTATTACAAATATTTTAAACGATATCAGAGAACGAAAATTTGGTTTCTTGGAGTCTCAACCTAACCGTGCTGGATTTACTGGGATATGATTCCAAAAGATAGACATGAGGTGCCTTAGATATATGAATGAGTGAATTACCGGCCCTGTGGACCTTTTCCATTTCACAACTAAAACATGGTCGACATTAGTGTACTCTAAACCACTGTTTTGAAATAATCAGAGAGTCGGTGACTTTTAGAATCCTTTTTGAAGAATGCAGTTTTTGATGTTGAAAACACGTATTTTTCTATGTAATGAAAATGCAATTTCTGTATCTCGCCGAATGTCGACTAAATGTTGGATCTTTTTCTTTTTTGAATTTTCACCTTGCTGCAGCTCTAATGATCTGTGTTAATATTACATGATAATTTATGATTAAGTCGTCACATATCTAAATTTGAATTTGTATATACGTTTGCTGCTCACTTGTTTTGTGTATCTTTTGTATAAACGTCTCTTTCTTCCTGTTTTTGGTTAACTGTTGCTCACCTTCACCTATATGTCTTGTTTGTCAGTTTAGTGGTCTCACCTAAGTAAGCAAAACCTGTTCTACAGTCGGCATCACTAGTGATGATACGATATCTTAATATAGGGCAAATACGCTTCACACTGATCATCTGTCTTATCAAGGTGGCACTTTAGCTATTGAAAACTCACACGTTATTTTCAAAATATTGTGTTATAAGAATATATATTCAATAGAAAATGCTCCGTTGCCATTATTGTCATTTTTCCATCTTCTGTCTGCGTAAAGCGAGGTATATGGATCATTTAAAGTACTGTGTAACAGGATTGTGTTTCAAACGAGGCTGTCTTAACGAATACCTATTTGTATCCGAATATAAATCTCGTAATACAGTGGTGTAAGATATAAATACATTACAATAAAGACAAATCAATCCAGAGAACCGATAGGTACATTAGAGTAAAAATAATTTATAGAAATAATAACAGAGGTAGATAAATTTCGGTATCTTTATTATTCAGCGTCCCTGTTTAGCATAGTGCTGAAGTGATATTCCCATTGCAATAGCTAATTTCAAAGAATAACGTAAGATCTTGAAAATATTTACAGTGTTAATCGTCATTCCTGTTCTGAAAATATACATCAATACGTAAAACGTTTATTTAGATAAAATGAACGATTATGAAATTGAAACCACACCATTAATGAGGGTTTCTAAATCGTATCTTACACTACATATTAAATGTGTTAGAAACATAACTGTAATCTATAGTCAATTGAAATCCGGTTTCCATGACTAAGTGGCTTTTCAAAGATGTGTATAAAGGTATTGTAAAACATGAAGGGGACAGACAAATATAGCCTTTGAACATTAAGCAAGCCTATATCACATAACATACATGTACTAACAAACTTGAGAGCAAAACCCTTTATGCCACCTACATATATTGTAGCTTACGTGACGTTACCCAAAATGCTTCCAATTTTCAATGGTTTACCTAAATATTTCGTTAGCCGCGGATGAATTGCCAACTGTTTGTTTTATTTTGACAAAGAGTGATCAGGAACTTCCTGTGTTGGTTGGACTTCAAGAGCGTGTGTGTTTATTAATAAAACAGTAAATATGATATGTCTCCACGTATCATACAAGATGCTTGCACCCAAATTGATACAACAAACACCATAACAGCTTATTCTGTCGAAAGTCATGATTTTGCAGAATACATGAGACTTAAGTATATATTTTGAACCATATAATATTGACCAGCTTATAATTTTGTGTAACTATGGAAATGACAATAGGTGCTGCCGTGCACAGTAATAGCTGTTCACCGATCGACGTTACGTCACATGTTTTTCATGGCAACTAAGCGTAAATGTACACATGCATGCTTCATAGTCAAATCCAACACTCCAATACCAACATTAGGTCCTAACAGATATAACTTTTTGTGTCATTTTAGTTTTCTCAGCAAGAGTTCATAGTTCAAAGGTTCATAGATAAAAAAAACCTATTTCTGTCAATGTATGCAACATATGTCAAATATCAATGACCTGCATGTATATATACCTTTCATAATCCATGTATCATACTTAATATTTCTATCATTCTCCCTTCATAGCTGACAAAGTTGGTAAAATGTTTATCTCCTGACACATATACGTGTAAATGCGAAGTTGAAAAAAAATATTTTGAAATTGATATTTCACTGGGATAATTTACACGTGTATACTTAGGAGATACCAATATATAGCCTATTTTCAGTGTAACAAAGGCAACAAAGTGCAATGAAGGTTTCAATGTCATATTGACATTGGAATACGTCTATGCCATTTGAACTTACCAGTAAAAGAAAACTCAAAAACATATTTTCATCCCTCAGACGTGTAACAGAACACTTAGTGCAGATACAAAAACTGTTTAAATTTTATTTTCAAATCCATGTATAAGTCATTCATCTCAATACAAACTGCAGTTTGCAGTTATCAATGATATAAAAAAACACTGTCAAGGATAATGAACTGAGCCATATGATTGTTGAATGTCATTTGAAAGTCAATCCAGTCACATTGCAACCAGCTGAGGATGAGCTCCATACTTAGATACACATGTCACAATGTAACCAGCTGAGAATGAGCTCCATACTTAAATACACGTGTCACAGTCACAGTGTAATCAGCTGAGAATGAGCTCCATACTTAAATGCACGTGTCACAGTCACAGTGTAACCAGCTGAGGATGAGCTCCATACTTAGATACACATGTCACAGTGTAACCAGCTGAGAATGAGCTCCATACTTAAATACACGTGTCACAGTCACAGTGTAATCAGCTGAGAATGAGCTCCATACTTAAATACACGTGTCACAGTCACAGTGTAACCAGCTGAGGATGAGCTCCATACTTAAATACACGTGTCACAGTCACATTTTAACCAGCTGAGGATGATCTCCATACTTAAATACACGTGTCACAGTCACAGTGTAACCAGCTGAGGATGAGCTCCATACTTAGATTCATGTGTCACAGTCACAGTGTAACCAGGTGAGAATGAGCTCCATACTTAGATGCACGTGTTTTGGGAAGACAATGTGGTCATTACTTTCATCTTCACATCATATTGATACAATTACTTAATTTTTAACCAAGGCTATTGTAAGTTTTCAATACAAGGCTTTTTTTTCTTATTACCCATACAGTTATATAATACTCATACCAGATTTTGACTCAGACTGATTATCTCCCTCTGATCTTCCATTCTGCATATACAGGTAATAGGATGATGCATGATATATGGAGGCAGACACTCTACTTCTATGTCTAAAATAACATATCTAGATTATTTCATACTTTATAGTATTAGAAATTTGATATATATAATTTAACTGTGTTTGTCATTTTAGGACAAGGTATACATCAATAGTGACCATATCAATGATCAATTTAGAACAGTTATGTTTAATCGTAATCGTGCAAAGATTTCGTTTCGGCATATTTGTTTACCTGGTTTTTGATAGTGCAAGTTTTCGTTGAAATTAATACCTTCTGGGTAATGTTTCCTTTTAATATCTAATAGTTCTTCAGGGCTGATGAGTTCTTTACATACAACAAAACATAAAACTCTTGTTTCTTTAAATGGCTTCATTTCTACTGCAAATAAAAAAGAAACATTATGTGTAGCCTGTTTTGCCGAGATGTAGGTCCTTGCATACATTTGAAAGCTCTCATGTAATGAAGAACATATCCGGATTTTCTTTCAGGCACCTTGGGTTTTACTGGCGCCATGCGCAGAACAGTCTATACAAGATGGCGGATAGGCCATAAGTCGTAGCTCGTCGATACAAACACGAATCACAAGAAAATTATACTTAGATATTTTTTGCAGAAAAGTTATTGTTTCAGATTTTTGAGTTTATCATATAATGAGAGATTCTTTGGTTATGTTTAAACTTACCCAGAAGGGCTATAGAAATACCACTCGCACGACCGTATGATTTGTGATAGGAACAATTATGATATTTTTGCCCATTTCGAAATGGTCTTGCAGAGAATCTTAGATGCTTTTTACAATAAATCAGTGTTGAATAAACAATAAGATGTTGTTATTTTTACAGAATCAGGGTGAATGCCTGTATATTTAATTCGCAGTGCTTGACCAATTTGGGTACAGTATCGATATTTGGTATCGTCACTTTATTGTAAAAACTTAATATGCCCTCACAGTATATACCTTTTCACTTTATTGCAACACTCTATATAGTATTAAAACTCCCGAAGTAGACTTATAATAATTTGTTTTCTCCCATTTGATTTCCTCGAGCTTCTCCTCTTCTTTTAATAGCTTGATGGTGGCTTTGAATTTATCCAAGTATTTCGGATCACTAAAGAAGCTTCCCTTGCCTTCTGTTCGGGTAATGACACAAATAAGCCCACCTGCAATAAGAGGTTCTAGTCATTTTCTCTCCACAGTAGAAATCTTTCAGAAATGATAAATTTACTAAAGCTGTTTAGCATGGGTATACTATAAACCGAATAGATCGTCTCTTTTTCGATATCAATCATTTAAGATGATCAACAAATTATTCAATCGAAATATCAAAACCTGGAGGACTTCATATATACATATATTCGCATGGCTATAAAAAGGTACCATGAAAATTTCCTGATAAAACTTTGTCGTATACCTTGCAGGCATCCATTTGTGTTTTCGGCCGTAAGCGACCAAGCGATGGACATCTTTATACCGAACAAATCTCATTAGACGTTTAACTTTTATATCAAGTAATATGTTGATGTTTGATGACGTTCATGAGAGACAGTTAAAGTCAAATTTTTTTCTAGACTATTGTTTTCGAACACATCGTTTTGTATGTTTATTTTGCTATCGACTGTATATAGTTTAGATGGCTAAAACATTCCTTTATATTCTACTTGGTTGTCAATATGTTTTTCTTAGACCATCCTCGGCTTGACAAAATGTTTTTGACTACACCCACCAAGTCTGACAATATGACTTGATATAGACCCGGATTTCCATTATGGTTTTGACTGAGTTTTTGAATTGGCAATATCCTATTTCTAGACAGTATGTTTTGATCTGATCATATTCGGTTTGACAAATGTTTGACATATGTTTGACAAGACTTCCCCGATTTGACAATTTGTTTTGTTTTGTTTTGCTTTTTCGTGAGGTCCTACCCGGATGGAATATTTGTATTTGACAAGAACATCTCCGGTTTTTCCAGACGTTTTTGGCCAGACCAGTCCCGACTTGACATTTGTTTGTTTTACAGTGCCCTGATTGACATTCTTTTTCATTGGACAAAACCTTGCTTGAAAATGTTTTTGACTACACCATTTTCGACGTGACAATATCATTTTGAGTAGACTATATCCGTCTTCACAATATATCTTTGAATAGATAGTATCTGGCTTGGCAATATATATTTTTGATAAACCATACTTGATTTGATATTATTTTTGACTATTGCCATAACTAAACCATAGGCGGTTTGACAATGTGTTTTGACTAGACTATACCCGACAATATAATTCAGCTAAACCATACCTGGCTTGACAATACGTGCGGCTTCAATGAAACAGTCAGGTGGAAGATGTCCAGGAAATAATGAACCGGCAGAAACGATGACGTCATAACTGTCTGGAAATCATGAGTAAAAAAACAAACACAAATATATGTGAACCTTTCAAAAGGAAATGAACACGATTGGATAATTATGGATCAGTGAAACAAACTGAGGGATATTCTTTTATAAGTTTGGATGGGTTGGACATATATATTGTATATATAATGTGTGTCCGTACACTAAGGCTGTTCACGTGTGGTTCTTTGTGAACAAAACACTTAAAATTACGAATATATCTAAATATTCAGTGTGTATATGATTTATCTACCAGTGCCCAACCTATATATATAGCTTAATTAGGAACTGTACTTTGTTGTATTCTTCTATATTTAGAAAATAAATAAGTCCTAAATCAGAATTATTTACAAATCATTTCTAAATTTATATCAGTCACGATGGAATCGTACATTTGTGCGATAGAACCGGATAAACTGCGCACAAATGTGCGACAGCTTATTTCGTCCAATTTTCCTATCGTGGTGACATCATGCGCACATTGTGCAGACATAGTGCAGTCATCGAGCGCACATCGTGTAACGTTGTGCGACCACACTCATAGCGCACATTTTTTCTGATTGTAATCAATCATTCTATGAAAATTGCGTAAATATTCATTGAACAATGAGTAGTCAAACTAAGAAATAATTCATGTAGATTGGTATATCTATGTACGAATTGGTCTATCATTTGTAATTCGTTGGTTGATAATGACAACAACAACACACACAAAAGAAATAACACTATTTTAAAGTAGCCCTTGATTTTTTATCAATGGAGTGAAGAGGATGTGAAGGAAACCTGTAAGAAATGCTTGTGAAGCTGAACTCGCTTGCTGTGAAGGATCCTTTCTTCAGATTTGAATTTTGACATCCAAACAATCTCTCGGATATAGTTAATCACCTGTATGTCAAACCTAATGAATAAACAGACACAAGTTTATAATAGACAAATTCGTATCACCAGCACAACTTTGATAGAAAGTATGAATACCTTTCTCAAGGCCAGGTGTCGGTTCAGCCGTGAAATATTTACAAATCAGATTTCTATACACGTTTGAACCGCGTGCTGCATCCAGCATACGCTGGGACGGATCTAGTCCATCTAAGATACTGAATCCAAGTTTTTGTAACTGAAATGATATATATATGATAATAAATTCCGAAAATGAGTGACGGTTATGTTTAATTAATGAAAACAATGGTTGTGATCTGACATCAATTTTGTCGAAAAGAAATAACTGGAGTATTTATGGGAAACTATTGAACCTAAATGTGATTTATGTGTGTAGCTTGTCTGATTTCTAACAAAAAATAATCGGAATTTATATAAAGCTGTTTTCCGCGTCTTTGATCTTCGAATAAGGAAATAGACATGGTATTTCAGGTTAGAAAATGTGCTGAACAACTGCTCCAAAAACACCTTAATGAATAAAAGAAATATTATAATCCGATTTCAGTTTTACATACCCTTAAATATCATGGTTAAGCTGAATATATTGTAAAAATTAAGGAGTATTGAAAAATCTAGAATTCTATACAATGCTATACTGCAACCCCATACAAGTCAATTAGCATACAATGATATTATTTTGAAGCATCTGATATGTTAAAATTAATTGAAGCGTATCACATGACGATTAGATATCCTAGCATATCGATTCAATTGCTATTGAAGAAGCATCATGTATGATAAAACTTAAATGATATCATCTCCCGTTACCCTAATCCTTCCAAACCTCCTGTACTTGTCTCAGGGATTTCGTTTTTGAATTAATCTTATGTTGCCTTGTCGATATTTTTTCATTTGCGGTTAATAGCATGAATACCAAATAATACAACAAATAAAGAAAAATAAAGAGATGAAAATTTGTACTAACAGATTCCGCTCTGATATAGTAAAATGTACATATGTAAGTCAGCCGATATCACAGGGTAAACATTCTTTACCATAAAATAAATTAGAGATAGGAAATACATTTTCCTGTACTAAGGTGAAAGCCTAAGACCTAATTAAGGTATTTCGCTAATATCAAAGAATTCGGGATGTTATTCATAACCGATTGCGTTCAGTTCATGACATTGCGTCTATCAGTGTATACTTACCTCAAAGCCCACAATTCCAGTTCCAGTTGCGATGTCTAAAACTTTAACTGTCCTTCCTCCCACTGGGTAAAATGCCGCCAAGGTCTTAGCCAGTATGAGAGGTGCAACGTAATGTATGCCATTGACATCCTGTTAATTAGAATATAAAGAAAACAATATATTTCTCCTTTGAGAATAGCAAGAGCACAAGGGTTATTTAAAGCGACGTATAGAAGTCTTTTGCGGTAAACGAAATGTGGATTACATACATCTATACAACAACAATAACAAGCGATAAACAACAGCTTAGCGTTAAAAGCTACGTTCCCATAAACCCTTCTCATCATTTCACCGAAAAAGGTACAAAAATATCATACCTTAGGTACACGTGTACCTGATCATCATGGATGTTCAACATGTTAACTATTATGCTAGATGTTTAAACCTTATCATATGATTCGCTCCATCCATCGTATACATCCGTCAGTTGGTTTGGTGACTGTTTTGAGACAATCCATGGAAAAGGACAGTCCATACTGGAGAATTCAAAATATCTTTGAACGAAACTGGTGGATATACTGGTAAATATAAACATAAAAATCACTTAATTCGCTTGTGCTTACTTAATTTCACCTTATTGCAGGTCAGTTACAACATGATAAAACATCGTAAATATGAAAAATAAATCATGAAATGACAAGGAAAGCCATAGCCAAAGTTGACTTTGGAGGCACATATTTGAAAATTATGAAAGTTGTGCACTTCCTAGTCTAGTTTTTTTTTTTTTTTTTTTTTTTTGAGAAACTTTAAAATGATCTCCTTATGCAATAACATAGTAGATATTTGTTAACAAGGTGGTATTGTCATTAATTCGTGTCTCATTGACCTACTCGATGACATACTGTATACCACGAAAATTTTTGCCTCCGTTTCATTTGCACCTTTTTCTTCTGTGAACGAATTTTAGATGGGAGCTAAAATCTGTTACACGTGTGTTACCCTTTTATACAACATTCAGATGGCAAAGTGAATGAAATGCACATGTTGCGAATTCATGTAAATGCTACAAGGACAAAAATATCCCGACGATTGTTGACAGGTGGTCTGGAAGATAAATTAGAATTTGATCTTCTGAAGTGTACTGTGTGCGGGTACATTACGTTAATGCCAACAAAGTTGTCTTGTTATAAGTTGATAATTTTTTTTTTTATAAGACAACAAATCCATGTTATTTACGTGTATAAGTCATATACACTGAACGTTATAGTTTAACTATAAAAGCCACACCAATAAGATTATATTTATGCAGAATCTTCAAGACGTTTAAGTTCAAAATACTGAACAAGATGTTGACAAAAACGTTAAACAGTGCGAAGATTTTTTCGATCAATGAACAGAAACTAGTAAATGTAAAATTACCGCTCGACAAAATGAATGGTATTTAGATAAATATTTTAGTTAAACAAAGTTATATCTAAAACATTACCTGATGTTTTAAAAATATCCACAGAACAGAGAATACAGAAACAGGAGACCAGAGGCATATACACTTATTATGCACAGCAGTTACATTAAGCCAGGTTGTACTGTTCTTATAACATGGCTATACATCAGTTAGTAAATCTTTTTTATATAAGTATTTGCATAAAGAAATATTAAACCTATGTGTACAACTTTATTCGATCGATTTTCTCATCATGACGGCTCCAAATTTATATATACTGGTAAATACATGTTATGCCAATTTTAAACATATTGTTGGCGCTCAATGTAACTCTTCTGTAATATCACAAACAAGTTGAAATGATTGAAATGAGGTGACCTAAACTATAAGCTGTCATTTACAATAAAACAATGTTTCGTCACCAAATGAAAATAACCAAACAGGAATGTAGTTATTCAGTATATACTGGAAAATAATAAATTGACACATTGTCGCACCTTATACAGCTTTTCTATGTTGCAATGCAAACTTGAATTTCCGAATGGGCATTATTCGTTTAATGGTGCCTTGTATTTAAATTTCACATTTTTGATATGCGGGTCACTGTCTTGATTATTTTTCCACTTCACTGACCTCGTTACAAAATCTCGTATATCTCATTTTCAAATTCGAGCAGCGAATAATAAATGTTTAGATACCAGATGTTGTGAATATCTGCAAGGTTATTACCAGACAGAGAATCACAAGCCAAATATTTACAATTCCCATCCTCCATCTAAACTGTTGTATAAATAAACAGAAGTGCCTCTGTCTACACATTATACACCTACATCAATCAGGAAATATATTTCTATTGTACTTCAACAAGTAAACAGTTTAATGAAACTGACAACAATTATATCAGGTAGTATAAGGAAATCGCAATATAGAAACGTCAAACAAAGAAATTTCACGGACATGATAGTCGTATATTTTTACTATTCATAGAGATTGGTTTTTTTTTTCGAGCAAGTGCTGTGGCTATTAAGTGAAAAGACATTTATATTCATTTTCGTTATTGTTGGCAAAATATATCAACCAGTAGAAGATTTAAATGTGACGTTTCGATGACTACACTTCTGGTGTTAGGGATAGTATGATCCGTGTGGGTCTGTTTCCTATATACCAATACCAGTGACATCTATTTCTTCCCCAGTTGGTGCATTTGATGATGTGGGTGGTCTCTACGGTCTTGGTCGTGTTAACAGAACGTTGTTTTCTATTAACATTACAATCCTGATCAATAAGTTCCGAAAATTCATTGACTCTGTTCAAAACTATTTCTCTTTGCCATTAAATGATGTCTGCAAATAATTTGCCGATTTGTTTGCCGTATCCTAGAATATTCGACTACGTCGACAGATTAAGCAGATTCACTAAGTATATCAATAAGTATGACAGAAATATCATGCCTTCCCTGTTTCCATGTAGTAAGTCCGTGTAGCCCCTAACAATACATGCATATGCAGAAATCCAGGGCATATCTTGCATTAGATATGCTATACTCATTACGAGGAATTGTGTCTGGGATCTGGTTTGCTTAAAATATGTTATCAATCAAGATGTGTTTTAGACATCAAAAATGTGTATGCTAATTTAACAATTGAAATAGATTGAACATATTGAATTTGTCGTTGTCTGTCATGTCTTTGCATAGTGAAACTGTGAAATACATGTTTATGATGTTCTATTTGTCAATGTCTATCCTTTCAGTTTCCAGATGATTTTGTTCCAATATCGTGATGTAGGAAAATGAAAGAGTATATGATGTTATTGCATCAATAAGACATATGTTGCGACCAACATATTGACACATTAAGGCATACATAAATCATTAACGCTCATTTACACAGAAAAGGAGATAACTTTTATAATATGTTCTCGTTATTATGTAAGTTTCGTGCATATCTACATTCAAAATGTAAATTAATATGTTTCATATAAAATATCAAGATTTATTCATAGATTTATTGTGTGTACTAAACCCTGTTATTGTTTGCCTTAACAATTACACGCTGTAATGTTAGCCAGAATGACTATAATTGATATGTCTGTTTTGATATGATTATCAGTTAAGAACACTATAAAATTCTTTACGTAAGGACAAACAAACGATGTGTCGTCAGTATCTAAACGATTGCTGAAAACAAATCCAAAACATCTTAACGAAGGTATGTCAATGTGAAGGCCAAATGTAAATTATACTAGTGGTTGAATGACCCCAATAAATTTGTGTCCATGTATTATCTTCAAGGTTTAAGATAAAAGGTAATTTGGAGTACGCTGGTGTATTATGACATAGAAACAGATATGTGCATATGTATCTCTCCTAAATTTTCCAGCCTTTTGTTTTATATAATAAACATATACTATGACTTTTCTTCTATCGGATATTAACCACATAACATCAAGCTAAACTGATTCCTAAAGACATACTTCGTAGATTACCGTTTTCTCATACAATATTCCAATATAAACATGTGCTGTTTTCTATTGTACAATAATTGAAAAGAAAAAGAAGTTATGCTAACTTACATTTATCACTCTTTTTGACCCGGACAGAAGCAAGCCGAAAGTCTAGTTTTAGGAGGAAATCGGAGTTCCCGTGGAAAACACAACTGGTCGGTTAGGTAACCCAATACCTTTACACGTCACTGCCGGAAATCGAACCCCTGATGCTTTGGTGAAAGAGTGTTACCACTGCGCCAACCGACTATAAGTCATGATAAATGTATTATTTTATATGCTTTTTCATACATATTATTATAATGCGTCAGTTACGTTGGTCATAAAAAATGTTTATCAGTCAATAAAGATGAGTGGAATCACTCACGCGAACGCGACGCTTGTAAATATATATATATATATATACTGAAAAAGGTATTTATATATTACCAGGGTATTATAAATATTTTTGTGGTATATATGGTCACCATTCATGAGTCGAAGTCCCGATGTTTCGAAGTTTTCTCGACGGTCCCTTGAACTTCGACACATCGAAGTTTTACTGTATACCATGTATACAGTATACAACGAAAGCTTCTATATGATTTTGTTGATTTAGTCCTTATCTGAAGACAATTACTACTTAGGATGTTGTTTGATTGTCCTTACAAAGAGACCATAAAAATTATTGTGATGACAAAATAACAATGGAAGCTGTGGATATTCTTCCGTATCATTAAACAGCGTTGTATCTTTCCAGAAAAGCAACAAGAAACCACAGTCCCTATTCGGCAGCCACATCATTTTTTATGTTACAAAGAATTACGTCATTGGTAGGTAACAGTTGTTGTCGTGACTACAAACACGATCATATCAATCATGTTTTTTTACAAAAGATATAAAAATATCTTAAAAGATAGCGAACATGTAACATGTAAATTTAATTAAGTCAACACCTTGTACAGACATATTAGAGAGATAATGTTCACGACATCAATTGTTATATGTTCAAGAAATGTTCGCTGCTGTTGTTTATAACGTAACGTAAATTAGTCATCAAAGGAAATTTGATAATATGAAATTTTTCATAGCAAGTTGTGAAAAAAAAATAGGGAAAATGTTTGTAACAGCAACAAGTAAGTACGGAACAATTTCTATCGTAAATAAAATGTAAAATACCTGTTATATACAATGTACAATGAAATATCTACAAGGATAGAGATCGGAGCCTGAACATGTAAGATGGGCTTTTAAAACGAATGGAAATGAGAACAAAATATTGATTGTACGAAATTTAGTCGATACGAGCACCCTGTATATAATTAGTTGACTGACGCATCCTTGAAAAAAGAAACGAATCAATCTTTGAAAAAAGGAATCATATGGAGAAGTTTCCTTTTAAAATATCGAAATGAGTATTGTTTTCTGTGTCATTATGCAAAGAAATTTGCACAAAAGACTCTAGTGAATAGAAAATAAATCAAGCAAAAAATAACGAGAAGTAAAATAAAATTAAATCAAATAGAATAAAATAAATCTATAAATTAATTATAGCAGTAAATGAACGTGCAATTCAGGTCAAATTTACAAACATTTAAGCAATTGAGTCCTCAATTCAATTCATTGTGGAAAAAAAGATATTTGTACTACTTTGATAAAGAATAAATTCAAACTTAAAAATTTCTTGTTGGTTAGATACTAATGAAATTTCGTTTTTAACATTATCGAACTTTCTTGCTGTTTTGACACATTGGGATTATTTTATAACAATATAAAATAATATCAATTATACATAATACAAAAAAATAAAACAAAGTATTATGACACATTTTTCCGGAATACGTGATCTTATTCTCCTTGTACTTTCAGGAGTCTCCGTAAATATTCCATCTATTCATTATAAAATTTTCGTTTGATTATGATTGCGTTGACATCTTGGTAATATCTTGATAGTTTCGGACGCAACGCAGACTATGTACGCTCAAGTGGACGAGCAATTGTGTTTATGTGTAAAATGATAAAGAGTTGTCAAAGGAGATTGATGAGGGGTTAGAAACTAAATGAAAACGGACCGGGATAAGTGTCAACATCACCGCAAGATATATAAAAAGACGAGACGATGAACATAGAACATAAAAAATAACATCGTGCTTGCTGTCCCCAAACAGCTATAGCGTCTTTAGTTATGCTTGACATGGAGTTCAGAAGGACATCGACTGTCCGCCGAGAAATGTTTTTCCATTCCACGGTATCTGTGTTGGGCAATTAGCGGAAATTATTTGCTCGATTTTCCTGTCAAATTCATCCCACATGTGTTTCATCGGGGACAAATCAGGTGAATTCCTCCTCAAACCGTAACAGATTCACTGCAAAATTTGTCGTGCTCCAAAACACAACCGTCTGAAAGACGCTCACTTCGACACCAGTACACATGTTGACTGTCATTTGATAGAAATAATGGTAATCGAGATTCATCCGTGACCTTTAACGTCTTTCAGGTAAACGTCTGGACACGTGTGCAGTCAACCATCGCATACGACGTGCTCGACGTTAAGTTGTCAGTATCGAACGGACGTATTGGCGGCGTAGGGGTGGGCGTCTCGCGGTCTATTTCTCACAATGTTTAGGTGGATTTGAGGTTTTCGTTTCCTATAATAATAATAATAATAATAATAATAATATATACTGGACGCAGGCTTATTAAGCCTATATATCCAGATCAGAATTAAAAAGAATTAGCATCCCGTATATGGATCAGTGTGTTATTGTCCAGTTCGTGGTTAAAATACATTCAGTTCGCCCCCAATGTTTATCCAATCGGGATTCGAAAGTTTGGATTGTTGGTGACGTTACAACGGCATTAGGAAGTGAATTCCAGTGGTTAACTACCCGTTCACAGTCTGCTCCTTCTTTTTAATAGTTGAAGACTGTGCCCTCTATGATACCTCGTGAATTTTTTTCTGTCGTTAATCTCCTGTGATCAAGACTAACGAAAGGATCATGACATCGCGACGGTCTGTAATCAACTCTTCCCGTGTCGCTGTGACGTAAAACTAACTGACTTACGTCGATTTGTGAACTCCGAAGTGAGTAGCGACCTGCTGTTGAGAACTACCTCCCATGAGCATTGCGAGAGTCCGTCTTTCATCAAGTTTGGAAAGTTGTGGCACATTTGTAAAAGCCATTATTGATTGCAAATATATTGGCGATCATGCGTCTTGGTGAAACTGAGAAACTGACACTAGTTTGACCATTCAAAGAACGCATACATTTGTACAGTCACGGTACATTGTTAATGTAGGCGAACCGGATATGTATGTGTGTTGGTGTACGTGCGTGCGTGCGTGCGTGTGTGTGTTTTTTTTCTCGAATGACGAAATTTTAACATGTGTTATGCTAAGTATACACAATACCATATACAGTTTTTGTTCTTTCTTGTTTCTCTGTAGTGTACCTTACACATAGAACAGTTATGCAGGACACCAAATACTGAAACACTTCTAGGAACTTGCAAGTAATAAAACCAGTCTGTAATGGTCAATTTATAGAATCAAAACAGAAAGAAAGCGAACAACACAACTGTAATAATTTATTGATAATTACGGGGAAAATCTACATGAAATATATACCTTAATCAACTTGACATATAAATATATATGAGGATATATTGTTAGATTCGTAGTATTAAAAATCCTTTAACAAATTTCAGAGGTCCATATAACGATCGTAAAAATTAAATAAATATGGAAATAAAGAAAAAGAATATAATCCGATGTCATTCTAATCTCTATGATAGTATATTCTTTCAAAGTTGATGTTATTTAGTGTTTTCATGTGAAACTGTCCTTTGGCGAGTACACAAATTCACACATTGTAATTTACTGAAAGTTTAACTCAAGGGATACATTATCTGTGTGAATATTTAGTTGAGAGCTAGTAATTCATTTATTTCTCATTAATTACATCTTACCAAAGGTCAATAACCTATCACCTCATCTCTGTTTAATATGTTATTATATTTTACTACAACAAACCTAACGTGTTCATTCATGTCAAAGAGATGCTGAAAATGTTGCTAAACATAACTTTAGAATTTGTCACATGATTTATTTAGTGTATATCTCTATCCCTTCAGAGATACTAATAATAGCTAGTTGTATCCTAGTTGTAAAGAAATTGACACAATATACCACAGGAATCTGTTGATTCGGCATAAAAGACAATGAGTTGACAATGAATCCTTGGCATACTGACACAAATAGATCTTAGTGGTCAAGTTTTAATTATACCAACAAGACAAACGGTTTCTGTTTTGAAATGTTGAAACGAAATAAAGCAAGAAATCTTGAATGAAAATAGAACATGCTATTTTATGCTTTCACGAAAACTCTCAATCCTCAGTTGAAACTTTTCATGATTAAGTCTTTTGTTTCAATGCATTCACAGCTTATTAAATATGGTCAAAATGAATAAAACCTTAACGCATTTGAGGTCCCAGTGGCTCATGTAGTGAGTTGTGACTTATGGATGATGGAGGATTAGAAGAACTGGCAAGTGTACTGGATTGTCCCGATTGTAAATCCAGAGGTCCAGGGAATTGTGTTCTCGGATTGGAAAGTAATCCCTGAGGCTGGATACCCAAAGGTCCGTTATTCATTGGTGAGTTATGTGGACGCTGCTGCTGATTTGGTGGCCCAGATGGATGTCTTGGGCCAAGGGGTCCCCCATTTGGCATCATAGGAATATCTCCCATTGGAACCCCTGCAGCCAACTTTATAAGGCTGGAAGCTCTCTCGGCCATCATGATAACAGCAGCAGTTTGGTCCTCAGTTGGTTCAGGTATAGCGGCAGAGCCAACCACTCTGAGACCATGAATGCCCTTGACCCTATTTCAAGAACAAGAAGTAAAAAACGTTATTGTATTTAATTTCGAAATTGATGAAATAGCATCAATTTTCCACGCTTGAATTTGTCAAAACGGTCATGGAAATTCAGGATATATGAAATATTTTACACGGAGGTTAATTACGGTTTGTATTGTGACTGTTAGAGATGAAACATTGTGACTGTTAGAGATGAAACGTTATCGCAGAATATGTTCAAATATTTGGCAACAGATGCAGATTTTCTACAAACATAAGTAATTAATATGTAACTTACATTACGTTAAAAATCAATGAATTGGTAAAAACCTACCAATATATATATATATTCAAATATGACATGCAACAGATGTTCTTATGGTTGTGATAAAATATCAAATACACTTAGAGGAACACCATAAGCACTAATTAATGCTGGTAATATTTTTAAATTTTTTTTGTGTGTTTTTTTGTAATTGTGTTTAATTGTTTTGTTTAGCTTCCAGCGTATGATTCATACAGATAATGTAAAGGAGGTCAACCCACCGAGTATATCTAAGTCTACGAAAAATATCTCAATATGAGAAGCGTCCAGAACAAAACAATGCTCTTCATTTTATATCAGTATTTGTTATTATTATTGTTATTATTTTGTTTAGTTTTTTTTTGTCAATATAAGAAACTGATTGACAAGCATAAATGTATTAAGTAGCTTTCAAAATGGAAGTGATCTGTTTGTGACCATTCGTTGTGTTGATGATACCGGTACTTGGACCTTATCTACAGAGAAAACAGTGATTGCTAGTCACCTGAGGTCTGGGTCAAGGACAGCTGAATTGTCTTTCACAGCTCCCATTTTGACAGTCCCTGTACCATGGAAGTTAGGGATGGCAAAGAACCGGATGTAGCATTCCCAGTAGTCATCCGTATCGTACGTAAATTGATTGCATTCGGGAAAAGGTGCATCCATTGAAGCTCCAGCGTGGTGAAGATAGTCGGTGCTTATAAGTTCTTTTATGAGTCGAATAGCTGAAATAACACATTTCATTAGGCTATTATGATATCATAGTAATTAGTATTAAACCAGAATACATTTCCAAAAGATGTGATATTTAGTTGAAACTTTATAACTTCTTCAGAGTTAAGGACAGCAAACGGATGTGGAGAATGTCCTTACAAATGTAAAGGTTTACGACACTTTAAAAACGCACTTTTGCAGTATCAAAATATGGAAACACAAGACGTAGGACATGCATTTAGATATATGATGGGAACTGTCTGATATTAAAGAATGGGAAAACAGTGAAACCTAATAAGGACTTGAATAGCAAAAGCAAGAATTTGACTTATGACATAATATGCTCAACTTCTAAAGAACATTATGTTGGTCAAACAGGAAATGCATTATGTGAGAGAGTTCGAATACATTAACAACAAACGCGTTCGCCGGAAACGCATAAAAATTCCACTGAGAGAAACCTAGACAGTTGGTGGAACTTTCTCCATATCGCCTTGTAACAGAATAGCAGATACCCGGTTTACAAAAAAGACTTTTCAAAGAGGATATGTTTTTGTAATATTATTTAAACCCTTACTAAAAGGTCATTAACTGTATTATTTAGTGACGTGATACCTTATAGGATGTAACTTTATTACCTCCCCTATTGTTACTATATATTACCTCATAATGTAATTACTAAGTGATTTAAAGAATTACCTGAAGATGATCACTGGGTGTGTTAGGAACTACCGTGTTGTTGATTTTTTCCGTTTTAAATATCTAACCGCTACACAATATATTTACAAATTAAACAGATATGACAATATAATAATGATAAACATTATTTATTTTACAACAATTGCGAAGCAAGTTTTTCCAACTTATATAAATCACCCTTGTTGGCTCGGACGGAAGCGCGCAATGGTATATATATATATATATAGCTCAGTACCTTTTATCAACTCCTTAACGTCCCGAATGTCTGTAAGGAAAGCTGGGTCGATCAGGGGCGGGTCCATAGGATCATCACTTCTTAGTGTCACTGTGCCCCGACTGTAAGGGTGTATCAGCTGTGGTACAATCTGTACACCTTCATGTGCGAGACCCTTTCGAAACCATGTGTTAACATACTGAAAAAGAAAATCTTATTTGAAAAGGAAAGAAAAATTATGAAATACCTATGCCAATTATCAACGAATTTTACAAGAAAAAAATGAAAATCTGAATTTGAACAAAATTTCGGACGGATCTGATATGTGAGCTAGCTTTGAAGGACATTTAAATGTAATAAATCATGTCACAAAAACAGAAAAAAAAGTATTGATAAAGAGCAAACCTCTGGTTTTATGTTCCAGTTATGGAAAACTTCAGGAAGACGGTCAAACAAGGTACTTATAAAGTAGAGGTTAATGTCGGGCCAATCTGGGGTATCAAGTGACGTCTTGGCCAATAGCATGCCTTCCATACTGGAGAGTTCAGAAAGCAAACCTGCATCACAACAAACGATCATTCCGATAATATTTAAATAACCATTGAACACTGAATACAAATGTAAGCAGTTGGAAATACTATTTATAAAAATGTAGATATATAAGCACTGAATTGTTGATTCCATTTTTGGACATATGGCCAGTTTCAAGAAATATTCATTCTTTACCACTGATGCTCAGCTTTATTTGAAATATTTAAAATAAGTTTATCAATGAAGTTTTCATGAAAACGTACATTAACAATTATAAACAAAATAGCAACAAAAAGTAATAAACTATCCAGCAAACATAAAAGGAGTTATCCCCCTTGCCTCAATATATGTATTCCCCTTGTCGCAATTTGTTATGTACATGTTTTTTTGTGTACATATAACGCTAATGACATTATTTGTCACGCATCTTCTCCAATTATGTTGAACAATCATTTGCCAAGGAAATCTGTTGAAACTGACTTTAATTGAGCTTCAGATACATTTAACAAACGATGTTTAACATAAAGCCATTCTTACCGGTTCTGTTGGTTATGTAGGCTAGGGTATGCTTTGGCTCGACTAATAATTCAGGTCTGAATGACGGAATATCCATAAAAATCCGTAAAGGAACGACGGGAAGTTCCTTCAGGTCTAATCCTACCGGAACATTGGACATCACAGGGATCTACAGCAAGAAGCGATATTTAACTATTTATCTTACTCTCATATATAATCTTTTCTTTCAAATGATGTCAATTTATACAGAAATATTCAGATATATTTTGGAACAGTTTCTTTAGGTTGGTAATGCAATAGAACAGAATTTCTTATAACACAACCTGTAGAAGATTTGAGTGTGTCGTTATGAAGAATACGCGGTCTATAAGATTATAAAGTAATAAAACGTATATTTCAAATATCTCAGAAGTGTTTCATTATATTTAACGTCAATTAATACAGACTTGTTATAGGTTTAAATGGCTTAAACAGATATTTAAAACATCCTCGGGAATTTATCTTGTTTCAACCGAACGCTTCACGAAAAATCAAAGATAATGAGTTATTCTGAGTAACATTGTTATTTTAGTTATCGGTTCAGACAATGTAATAGACTTGTTTTAAAATATTGATTGAAATATGACAATCGTGACCTAATACAATGTTAAACAGTATAAACAATCCACAGACGTTATCTTTATTTTAGAATAATGGTTATCTTATGTTAAAACAATATAAGCTCCAATGTCCCATATTATGTTCTTAAATTGACGATCTAATTTTACTGTCCTTGTCAGCAAACAGCAACTGATGCCATATTGTATTGGTTATAATAATATATATACCATTTCTTGCTTACTAAGAACTTACCTGTAATTGTTTTAAATGTTCCCGTGGCCCAATACCTGACAGCATCAGTAATTTTGGAGTGTTGTAAACACCGGCGCTGATGATCACCTCTTTCCTTGTAAATACACGTTTTGTCTTTCCTTCCTCGGTTCTAAACTCTACCCCAACAGCAGTGCCCTGATATAGCAATATCTGCCAATCAAAAGAACACAGTAGTAGATTTTTTATGCTTGCAAGAAAGCGATATTATTAAAGCTGTGGTCATGGAGTTATCCACACATTAGGACTACAGATATGCACACAGATCGTATAGAAATAGACAACGAACACATAAACATGTCAAGATAATTATAATACATACTCAAATTCCACAAATGTATGGCACAATATGAAGAAAAGAAAGATTTACGGTGAGATTCCTGAAAAAAGTACAAATGTTCCGGAAGAGTTAGTGCTTTCTGCTTGATCGACGACATCAGCAATGTAAACCTTGATTAATCGAAGTAAGTAATGTCACATTCTTAAATGAGAACAAGGTATGCAACAACGGAACCAACAGAAAACCCAACGAGCATCAAATATGTCCAGCTTCATATGACACATGGAAACAGAATATTTCTCAATAAGATCATTATAAAATACGATGTTCCTATTAAGGTTGGTCATATAAATATAGCATATATTTCAGCTTCAGCGGTCTGAAACTGATGTCTCACACTTTATACTATTCGCATGATGCATGTTTACTCCATCAATAAAATCTTGCCAATGAAAATGATTTACTGATAAATAGCAAAAAAGATTCCAAATATCAATAACAAAATAAATCACATTTGTTCGTTTTCATGTTGAGTTATAGGACATAAACCCCACAGATGTATATATAAAACACTCCTTTCTGTAATCACAATATCAGATAACATCCAATTCAAACATTTAAACAAATGTGTTTACACGTTCTTTTAGATATTGATTCAATGAACGAAAAATATTAGTTGGAAATTTATGTTCACAATATCTGAAATACTCTTGTATTTAAAAAATTCAAATCCGTGCGAATGTATTGGAGATATAATTCTGTCATCCTATATTTCTGTCGCTTTTCCGTTACAAAATTTCAGATAAATCTTCGATACATTAATATAGCTTCTAATAAATATATTTACTTAACTTGACATGAAAATTATCTCTACAAGACCTAACATGGACAAAAGTTACCTTAGGTTTGCAAACTAACACGTCAAGTCGCAATATGTATCTAATATATATGTTTGATAGGTAATGTCTTGCATCAATAGATGTATGTACAACGTCATGTCAACATTTCTTTTTATAGCCTTTTCAATGTTTAGAACATGTTTTTAGACAAACATGAAGACAATGATAAGTTCCCATGTGTCCTGGATTCTTGTCTTTGGAATGGTAACGCATTTTTTTAATTTACAACCAATAGAAGATTTATGGAGTATATTCACTATTGTACAAAATACACACAACTCAATAGCACCTTATTAATGATTTAGAGTTAGGTACAGTAGAGTCAAACAATGACGTAAACCGCATTTTTAATAATAAAGTTTACCTTTACTACTGTCGTATCGGTGAGAAGATCTAGATTTTTACGGCCCAACACTGGAGCTAAATACGATTTAGCTGTGTTCCATCTCTCTCCAGACTTCGTGTTAAATTGTAGAGGACAATATCCTGAGAATATGAAATAATTAATTATTAAATGTTTGTACAAATGTAGTGTTCTTCTAAAACATTAACGAATACACCCGTATATATGAAACCATCATTTTGCAACCTGTTGCATCATGTATTAATCTTCGAGAGACATTTTTCTCGCAGAAGCTATATTTAAATTATCAAATTAAGAATATTCATATATAGTATGTGATGGTTTTTACTGTATTTGTCATACAACGTGTCAATTTGTCCATTTGGCCATAACACAATCAGGACAAAACGATAGATCCAAAGTTCGCAGCGTAATAAAAAAAACGAACTTGAAACAAAACAAAAAAACCAAAATCATAAATTTCGGACACACACACATAAAACAAGACATGAAAAAGTAGTAAAACTAAACGTTAGGGTACGGAAACAACTAATGTTGTAACAGATTTGTTATTCGTACACGAAAAAGATTGCAATACATCAGACTTCAAATTTGAATCTCACAAACAAAACAGTAGAATTTTAGGAGGTAGGCACCATGAAAAAACATTGGTTAGAAAATAATCATCAAGAACATGAAAATTCATCATTATTTGAACCTCATCTGTTTAGTTGGCATACTTACAAACAGTCAACAGAAATGATATTGGAAATCTTACACTTTTATCAGTACAATTTACATACTTTTCTATAAATGTGTGCATTATACAGATTAATGTGTAAAATTTTCAGATTAATGTGTGTAAAACTTACAATAAAAAGTTTAAAAGTTGCACTAATACGATTCCGTAGATAAGTCCTGTGTCTGTTGCTACAAAACAGTAGCTTATGTTGCAGTAAGAGATGTTATATTTGTGAGCTTAGCCAAATTTTACCTTCATCGACACCTTCATTGCAAGACATCCGTTTGTATCCAAGTGCTAACGATGCATTTCCAAACAGGTCTCGAAAGATTGATATTTTGTTCTGGGAAACTCTCACTGGACCACAGCTTCCTCGTTTTACTGAAACATTTTTCGATATTAGAATATTTGTAAATAACTTTCAATCGTTTGGGATATAAAAACCAAAAATACCTATCTTTAATTAAACTTAATGTACGGTAAAATGAGTAATACCATCTTTAAACTTTTAGTTTGATTATCGTCCATTATATGAAAAATGCCTTTACACAATAGGTGTAGAGATTGTTTTATAACCTACCTTTGCTGTAGGGGTCATTTAGTCTTACATCCTCCATCCTATCAAAATACTGCTTAATTTCATTGTAACTCCACCCACGGGCACCTTTTTTCGCCCATTGATTGTAAATCTCCGGACTCCCTCTCTGATAGACCATTGTATTTATAGCCATCGTACCGCCCACTACCTTCCCCTGGGGTAGACTCAGTCTCTGCAATATATTTACAAATTATTAAGCGTTTTGTTTAAATAGCATAGTGTTGCAAATCGCGAAAATAACACGAGGAAAATGTTTATGAAAGAGCCAATGATAGAATACCCCGTGTTCACATTGATATTACTTGAATGTCTTTTCTGAAATATGTTAAAATCATTATTTAGGCGGAGGAAATTTTGGCACTGACCGCTAACAGCAGTCTCATTCTAATACTAACATTATCAACCAGTCCGAATCCAGCACTAGACTGTGGTTCACTCATATACTGCCATGAGACACTGGAGTTCCATAGGTCCGACACTAATGCGGGAGTGTCTATTAACGTCGTCTCCGGGCGTTCCCTGTCCGACCCACCCGCCTCTATCAGCAACACCTTGTGGAATGGATGTTCAGACAGACGGTTTGCCAACACACATCCGGCAGTTCCAGCGCCGACTGTAGACGTATAAATTTTAAACAGTCTTAATTCAAACTTAAATTTAATGAAACTATGGTAAACTATGACCACGTAGGCTAATCTGAGAAAGTACAAAGGAAATAAGAAGAAACGTTCTGGACCTTATAATGTTAATGATAAAATATTTCAGTTAAAAATGTACATTAGACCCATCATTCGCTGCAATCCGCGATTGTAACAAAATGAAGCTGTAAAGAAATCATCCAAATATCATAATATAGCGAAATCACACTGAAAGACCGTAACATTTCCCATGGTCCGATGGTTCCATGACATTGCCTGAAGGTGAGAAATGTACGTTGCCGGTATGCTATCTTACCTATAATGTAATCATATTGATTGTGGGGCTTTTGATTACAACTCCCATCGTTGTTCTGTGTATCTGCAGCTGCAAGACTCAGTAACACTGCTAGTATCCAAATCATGTTCGGACTGGTGCCTATTGCTTCACTTGCCCTGATAAAAATAACAAAGATATATTTAATATAAATGTATTTCAAAATACTGGCCTAGTTTCAGTATATAAGCATAACCGATTTTAGTGATCTGTTGTTTCCTGTATAATAATTACAGAATATTTTGGCTGTCATCATGATTTGATCAAAGACATTTTCTACGCATAGTATGGCGAGATTGAAGTTATTTAATCGTATATTACTCTTGTTCAGCATTCATGTATGCGTATTGCTAAACTGGCATCATACAGCGTAATCCCTCCCCAACGTGTTGTTGGGATATCTATGTTTTCAGAAAAGCTTTCCTATGTAGTTACGCAAAAAGTACTAGAAGGATCAAAGGGCTCGGAACATTTGTCAGATGCTGTCATCAGAGGTTAAAAACTTATTTCTAAACTTTTTAATATAAGAAAGAAAACAGCACAGATGTCGAAATTTCTTTGCTTCGTTTGACAGAGATATATCATTTCTGTTATATAAAGTGTTATTAAATGTTTCCAGTATGTGTGATTATTAACTCAGAATATGTTGGAGAAAATAATGCTTTTCTAAACAAAAACGAAATCATCTTTATGTTACCATATATTAATAAGCACAGTTACAATCCAAAATTAAACAACCATGTCAATTAGTTTTCGACGAGTTATCTAATCATACAAAGATGTATATTATGATGAATAAACAGAGATTGGAAAAGAAAATTATCATTAAACAATATGCTCAACATGTTAATGATTAAGAATAACAAAAAAAAAACATTAAGTTAAATGATGCGATTTTTATATGATTGACTTATATTACGAGAATTGACTGTGCCCCTAAGTCGGCTGATTTTTTTTTTTTTTTTTTTTCATACGAGGCTGAATTTATCGAAGAGCTTGCTTAATCGTTTATTTTTTACTTTCAGATATATTGATGACGTTATTCCTTGAAATAACAAGGTATCTATTAACCATGCCATCGTATATACCCGACAGAACTATAAATCAAGGACACAACAGACCCTTCTTCATCAGAAGATTACCTCGATCTTTTCCAACAACAAAACCAGCATGGACAACTTTCCGCTTGGCTGCACGATATAGCGTGATGATTTCATTTTCACTATTCTGAATTTTCTATATCTGGATAGCGACATACCTGTGTCCCCAACCTATGGCGTATTCATGCCTGAAGCGATTCGACATCCGCGGGTCTGCTCCCGTTATCACGGGTTTAGTGCAAGAATCGCCAACTTACGGACGAACAAATAAAACAAATAAGTTTTCAAAGATGCAGGTTGATGAGAATTGTAGAGAATATTTTTATCGTCATAGTGACCTCTTTCTATATATTCTATTTCTATGTTCGATATAAAGCTGGACGTGTTTGATGATCGTTAGTTTGCGTGTTGGTACCGTTGTTGTATACCTTGTTCTCATTTAAATGCATGCCATTACTTGTAATGACCACGATTGATATGATGGTGTCTTCCATGAAGTTTACTCTTCCGGAACACGTTGTCTTATTCCCTTGTACTGTTTTCATGGGTCTCCGTTTAAATCTTTCTTTTGTTCATATTTTGCCCTAGTTTTATTGAATTTGAGTTTGGGTTATGATTATGTCGACATATTGTTAAATTCTTGTTGTTGCCCTAGGTTTATGGAATATGAGTTGACATGTTGACATGTTGGTATTTTCTTATTTTTTGTTTATTGTTATGCATATTATATATAAACACGGACAATAACTCTACGTTGTACACTGATGATATATGTTATTAATCTATCACGTGGGTACCTTAACAAAGTCACACGTTTCGGCAGTTAACGACTTCAATTCAGGAGCAACTTAAGAAAATTCCTTTTCGTTTTATATTTATAAGGATATCTTATCTAATTGATAGCCAATAAATTGACTTCAAAGTCAATAACAAAATTCATATTGATTCACCTGCAAAGTAAGATCTTGATCAGAATTTATGTATAAGAATGAGCAACATTGCAACACGGATGTTGTAAAGTTCGTACCGTGCTGTTTTGACACTTATATGTTCTTTTCATTTCAGACGTCAAAGCGACTTCAGTTAATATATTCCAAACAGACAGACAATAAAGTCAAACCAGCTACAGGTAAGAAACCACCACGGGCGATACGGCGTGTAAACTTATTAGTTTCCTCGTTAAGTGATAAATGTCCTTTATTAATTATAACCGCCGTAAAATTATCACGGAGCTCTAGATTGACAAAAATCAATTTCATGGTATATAATTAGTAATGAGATTATAAATAAAAGAAGACATCAGTCTTCCATAACCAAGCGAAGTTTATATGGAAAAATGTAAGTTCAGCCCTGATGTGTTACTTCATGCTTGAATGACTCTAAATCAACGTAGTCGCCATGCGTTCTTATGTTGAAAATTTATCTATAATGTCATGTATATTTAGCAAACTCATTTAGATATAAATAATTGCTACTCCTACTATATTTATCAAGAAAGTGTAAATCAATTACAATCTAAAGGGTTTTTAGAGTTATAAAAGCTATGCGTGTATTTTATGCTAACGCGTATTAAGGAGGTGAGGAAGAGAAGTAAATACCTGGTAAGATGGTCGTTTTCCGAGAGTAAATATAAATATATGTAAATTATTTTATTTTGTTTAATGAAAACGAAAATGATAATCCAAATACCTGTATCAGAGACAACTTAATAAAGAAATTTGATAAGATTCAGAAATCAAACACTACATGAATTCAAACAAACTAGTTAAATTTAAAAAAGAACATTAATTTTATTTCAAAGAAATTGTCACAAATATCTACAAGTTTATTTCTTTACAACAAGAATTATCTTATATTCAGTTACTAATGCGGCAGGAAAAATTAAAAACTTGGTTTATAAAATCGATAACATTTTATGGCTAATACAGACCTCTTGTTTACATAATTATTTCATTAAGTTATTAACAACAAACATATATTCTATAAAAAGCGAAAAAGAAAACAGGAAAGGTAAAAACAATAAAACGTAACAAACCTTTTTTTCTGCCGGAGTGGCTGTCTAACTCCCCCGAAATCAATAAGAAAGTGTATCTCGGTGAGGTCAGTCCAGGTGATTAGTAGTCGTTTAGCGTTGATCTATCTCATCTACTGGTTTTCATTTCCTCTGATTGATTGACAACCATGTGATTTATATTCAAGTAATGTCAAATATTTGTGATCCCAAATGTACCTCTATAAAGCAACTGGATGATAAATGTTTTGAAGAACTTTCTTCTGGAAATATCACGAGAGCATCATGTTATAGCTATATACAATATATATTATGTAAAACAAACACTCCTAGACATTTGTACCTTGAATCGTTGACATATGGTAGAATAGCGTCACTTAGTCTTTAAACACCTATTTTATAGTGAACATCGACCACAAACACGTTGTTGTTCATTAACTTCGATTATAAAACAATGATTGAGATACAGTACGTAGTACTGGCGTTCCTTTATGATAATATATGCATACCTAGATGCGACTATGACAACTGACCACATTGATCGTAATAAAATGCAAACAGGGCACGATCGTGAAATATTTCCTTAATATCAAGCAGGAAATTAAATATATATTAAGTACAAAATGACCTCGGGTCATGAAGTACAAACAAAGGAAGTAAAGATGATACGAATCAACCAATACACAGTCTCAGAAAAATGTGAAAAAAGTAAAAAATCGTTTAACCTTGAATACATGCTTAATTTGACGAACAAATTGTTGATATTTTCACTATCAAAGTTCAATCATGAAAGAAATAAAGTGAAATTGATTTCTGTGATTTTCCATGTAATTTTCAAATAGTCCTTTTGATCTTAATTGAAGGCAATTTTTTGCTAATTAACCAAGATATGTTACCAATTGTACAGCCTAAATAGCTCCATATAGATGTGCCTTTCAGTATCTAATATATATATATATATATACTACATTGTATATAGAGTTATTGATACAGCAAATTTAACACAAATATTGCATTTTCAAATTACGTTTTAGGACCTGCTGGTAATATCATCACGAGCTATTGTATAGAAGACTATAAAAGGCCATATAACTGTTCTGTTTGGCAAAATAATTCAATGAAGTAAAAATTGTACAACTGTAAAGAATTTCAATACTTTGAGATTGTATAGAAGACACACAGGTGAATAGAACCGTTTAATAATTTAGAGTTCGATACAGCAGAGCCAATTAAGGAATTAAACAGCATCATACAACTGTTTCTTCCTTCTAGGACTCATCCGTGATGCTTCATCATACAGCTGTTTCGTCCTTCTAGGACTCATCCGTGATGCTTCATCATACAGCTGTTTCGTCCTTCTAGGAATCGTCAGTGATGCTAAGGGCCTAAATATTGTAACCCTATGAGGCGGCAGAGGACAATCCAAAGTGATCGAAAGTAAAAATTTAGACGGGGAAGTGCAGTAGAACTATAATCAAATAAATAAGTAATTTTCATATATCAGATAATTTCAGAAAAGAGTCAAGTACAATGTACATGTGTTTATTCTGAACATTTCACTATTCGAGTGTCTTAAAACATGGGGTTACAGCAAACTTTGGGGACTTAAAGTCTACCAGTAGAGTCTACCACCTGCTATCTTAAAGACTTTATGAAAGGCACACGAGTGAATAGCACGCCATGATAATTAAGATTATTTTAAACAGTTTATATGGAATATTTAATAAGCTCTTGTTAATCAGGTTTAATCATCATATCATATAATTAAGTCAGAATTAATGATACGCGCTAAGAACAGTGAATAATGATAATGAACATGTGTGACCTTTACCCTTACATTGTATTGTTTCACACGAGACGTTAATTGACAGATTATTATCTGTCTAGGATCAATTGTTACTTTATACCACGAGTAGGAGTAGATTGATTTTAATGGGCGATGTAAGGTCACAGTGACAGGATGCGTTATATAAAGGTTATACAGGTAAAATATATGTATTTCAGTAGTAGTCACAGTACTTAATTATACCAGTAGGTAATAACACACTAGCTTATTATCTTTAATGACTATATAGATATTTAGTTTGGCTCTTCTTTTTATATGACGCTAATTAAAATTGCACATTATTATGGTAACGACTTCCTCGTCGTTATTTTCCTGGTAGTCAGCCATCTGTTTCCATATCCAATACAAAAAATATGATATTGTGTAATTTCAGTGATCTTTATCAGATTAATGAGATTTTTGCACACGGTGGTATATCATAATGTCATACATACCGTCACTATTATATACAGGGTGTTTCCTCAAAACCTGTCCTCACTTTATCCGGCTATATATGAGAGAGTTTAACATATATATGATATTTGAACCGATATGAAACAAATCAATATAAAATTGAACACTTTTTACAAACTGCGGAAATTTAAAATGATGACATCATATATGACGTCACTTGTCGTCAATTTACGCATCTGTGACATAATCAATGACATCACTTGTCGTTCATATCTTTATCTGTGACGTCATCAATGACATCATTTGTAGGCGATTTTCAGGATGGGTTTCATCAAAAGAATATTTTTTAATTGAAGTTATGAATACAAATTACTAGGAACTGTTGTGTCAACCATCAAGAAGAGATCTTCAGAGCTACCACGTTGAAGACGGCTGGCACCACAATTCTTGACTCCATAGGTCTGTACGAACTCTTGAAGATATCCATCAGTTGGATGCTGCGATTTGGGAAAGCCCTCAAAATCAATAAGCAAAATTGTTGAGGACATAACAATGTTCTACATGTACAACCTGAATGCTGTGATCTGACACATCCGTGTATAATTTCTTTCATGCAGCCATGTAAGTCAAATGATATTGTGAGTAGAAAGATGTTTGCACAATGGATGAGAGAAAGTATGGACATGGCGGATAAAATCTGGTTTTCCGACCAGGCGTATTTTTACTGAGGAAGCAAATAAAATAACTGTAGGTAGCAGGAATCCTGACGTTTTAAAAACTGTCATATGGTCGGGAAGTAAATGCCTGGACTTCCTAAAGGTTATATGGTGTTTTGGCCCTTTCGTCGGTGTCGGTGGAAGTAACTATTTGATAATTATTAATACAAAGTTAATTTTAACATGACAAGTGGCATATATATATATCAACTGTCCATTTTTATATCATAGTGCAGCCCCGCACATATTTGTACAGATGACCTAGCTTGGTTGATACGAACGTTTGGACGTAGTCTGATTGCCAAACAAAACTAGCAATGAATTGCCACCACACTCCCCAAACTTAAACCCACTCGACTTTTTCTTCTGTGGCTATCAAAGACATGGTGTATCAGTAAAACATAAAAGCTTTATCTATTTTACAACAGTTGTGTAACAAGTTTTTCCAACTTATATCAATCACTTTTGTTAGCCAAGATGTAAGCGCGCGAAGTGATGAAACCGGAGTACCCGCGGAAAACCCATGTGGTCGGGTTGGTGACCTCATGCTTTTCACGTCTATTCCGGGAATCGAACCACAGGCATCAAGCTGAAAGGCGAGCTCGTTACTACTGCGCCACCCTATCATAAGTCAGCAAATATTGCTGAGCTTAAAGTTGTTATCAAGAGATTAATCCGTCCCATGGGATTCGAAAATCGAGAATCCGACAACAGAAGTTGAATTTACTGAAGGATCTATGTACATAAAATAAGACCAAAACGACAACTTATTCAACTGCACACTCTTTTTTCTGCATCATTATTTTTCGACAAGTTTCCAACCTTCAGTTTAAGGGCTGACACATTGTATTGTAGTTGCTGTGCATACAGGACTTTCAGATAATCTGTACAATTGTATATATGAACATACATCACTTCAGAGATATATTTTGAATTAAAGGTCCAAGGCTTTTTGGATCTGATGGACAATAAAAGATTTACTAGTTCCATCAAAGCAGAGAAATAATTGTTTCTAATCAAAGTAAAAGAACAACGAAGCAAAAATCATTCTAGAAATATCGATAATATGAAACACATGGGTTTGAGAGACGCGGGGTAATATAGAAGAAGTGTTATGGTCTTTGGGATAAAACTTTTTCCTTGGACGGTAAAAATATGGATTTTACTAAAGTATGCCGAGTGGTATGCGTGGTAGTTCTGTTGCATTTTAACTTGTTTTTATTCGGGAAACTGACGTTACTTTCTTGACTTTACCAGGATTCACAAGCGGATGTCCGTGATGAAGCTGAAAACGCTTACCATACTGGAACACCTTGTCCTATTTCTCTTGTACTTGTTCATGAGTCATCGTGACAATATTTCATTTGTTCACGTTTTACCCTAGTTATTTAATATCAGACCGAGTTTGAATAAAGATTCTGTCGACCGACAGATATGTATATATCCTGATTTCATTGTTGTCGTATAGAAATTGCTCGGGTGTATTCTGCGTTCCCGAAAACAATCTTTATTTTTAGGACGACTTCGTAGCTATAGACACCAAACTGACCAGTTGTCCAGTAGAATGTTAACCGTGAGGATCGTACGTCACCTTTGAGGATCATTGTTGCATTGTACATGTACTTTCTCATCAACAGTTCATCATGAATGGGATTGGAAGAGAAATACACCTACAAATACATAGTATATAGGAGGCGACTGATGTGGGATACTTATACAGAAGTATGTTACACGCTTCGAATTTTAAGGTAAGCTCTTATAAAAACGGTTACGATCGACCATTGGGTCTTTTCCTTGTACCGCCTCCAGGAATTTTCAGAACATCGATACAGGATAACGCTCTTTTCGGTCACATTGTACTGAGACAAAGCATAACAGTTCTTTTTGCTGGAACTTAAAGCAGAGCATCAGTAAAAGAATAGTAAGTGCTGATTTCATGAGTTTTGTTTGTCCTGGTAAGAAAACAGATCCCGACAGTCCATTTTCGCGTCCTATACTTTTGACGCAGTAGCAATATGAAACATCGAAACTTTTTTTTCGCGATTTTTTCTTCTTTCCCTGTGACTCGCTTTCAAACAACTCGCCTGTGACTTAAGTGTTCAGATTGTGACTAAAGTGTTCAGATTTTCGCCCAAACGAGATGGATTTGGCTGGTCCAGGTTGTCTACTTCGTCAATTCTTTGTGATTGAGTCATGTTTAAGTCAGTGATATGTCCAAAACGCTCTGCTGTTCCCAATATCACAATTTCCGAAGTAAAGATCACAGATAGACATTTCAATATATTGTTTAAGGGGAGACAATTTTAATAGGACTACGTATAGATTTATGTACAATGTATATAACACATATCTTAAACTTATGTGTAATGTTTATATATACTGTAACAGTTGTAAGTTATCAGATCTAGATTCCTTGTCTATAAAGATTACAGTAGAATTTTTTTTGGCTCAATTTCGCGTTTTTATTAATTTATCTATTCATTCATTTTATTATTTAAGAAATGCATTTCCAATAACACTTGATTTCGTGAATAATTCTTTTTCTCGTTATCATTCCATTAATACTAAAATTAATGTAAATTTTGATATTTTAACCTTGGATTAAGAATATTGACGAAATTCACGGTAATGTGTTTATGTTTGATGCAGACATTTATACCATTAATAAAATCTTCAAATCGTTTTGTGTAAGGTTGTAGAGGATTTATCAGCTTTTGTTCACCCTAGAATTGAAGTGTAGCTTCCTATTTTTGACTTATTTCTAGCTAACAGTTCATGACATAATACATTTTGGTTGTTTTCGTCTCAGTTGATTACTGATAAACATCCGAAATATCTACGTATCGCACACTAAGGGGTATTTTATACTACCACTCTACAGTTGATGAATTAAACAAAACACCCGATGTGGATTTGATACCGTCTTGGTGTTCCTTTCCTGTTCAGGAGAGCAATAACATGGAGTTAATATACATAGGCATGTGGACAATGTATCACGTGTTTTGCTTGCGTGGAGAAGGAGCAGATGCATGATCTACATATATACAAAGTATTCTAAACATACAAAGTTTGTCTCCCCCTCCTCCTCCTCTCTCTCTCTCTCTCTCTCTCTCTCTCTCTCTCTCTCTCTCTCTCTCTCTCTCTCTCTCTCTCTCTCTCTCTCTCTCTCTCTCTCTCTCTCTCCCCCCCACCCCCTCCCTCTAAATTTGTTTATAGCTGTTTGTCATTATATTATACTGCCACCTTGTAAATATAATGTGTGTGGTGTGTATATTTATATCTTTGGAAAGTTGTACAACTTGTGCCTAATGCTACTTATGTGCAATACAATATGTTTACATCAAATGGAAACAATCATCTTACAATACGATACTTCAATGTTCGTATATATAGAGCGGTAGAACGTGATTGTTGTATCAAAATATATCATAACATATTTATAAGGTTTTCGTATGTCGAATCATTTTGCTAATGTCGAATCCTTTCACATAAAAAAATCGTATGTCGAATCCTTATCTTTAACATTTTCGTATGTCGAATCTATTTAAACATAACATTGCTGTATAACGAGTCCTTTTATTTATAAGATTTTCGTATGTCGAATATTTTTATATGAAACATTTTCGAATTTTTAATTCTTTCACTTTGTCGAGGGTATTATAAATTTCCAATTTTTATCGCACTAAAAAAAATTGCCAACGCCCACAAAAAAAAAATAGAGAAAATCATATTTGCCATAAAATAAACCAGTTACAAAATGTATAACATGATTTCTTCACCAAATGTACATTCCGCCAAACTATTTCTCAGTAATTCATTCCACTGCAACATATGGAAAATTCTGACGTAATATGTAATTCAAGAAAGTTATCTCTAAAATCAATTTAGTTTCACATTTTCGTTGCAATGTTCAATATGCTAGGATATGCATTTTCTTTACTATTCGTATAGTGTAACTATATGAACAACATAACTTCCGGCGTTACCCCTTGTTGGCCCCGATAACCTAATTTGACATTTGCTGCTAACTGATCTATTTTTAGCATCGTGCTATTTAGATTATCTGTGTCCAGAGCCATCCAGCGACCGGAGCATCCTTGGTCTTGTTAAGGATCCGATCCCAAAAACCCAGGGACTCTTTATCTTTGGACTGGAACCGGGGTTTCCTTTAGGTCAGAGTTTTCACAAGGAGGGTTTGAAGCGGATTTTGGTTTCCGGCGGACGCTCGAGAGGTAACCAGCAAGGCTACCACCCAACCGTCAGGTCTGTAACATATGTGTACTTGGTGCAGGTTGTTTGCTAACGGGTCTATAATGTTGCAGAGTATTGGGACGTGTATACATATGTAAGACGGTCTTTATCTTCATAAGAGAAATAACTCCGGGTCCATTGTACACTGTTTGCTGCATGGTCACACATGAATGATTATGATATTTACTGAACAAGTCGGGGACGTTTACACAGGAGAGGCACACATGGGTGACACTGATCAATAATGGCAGTTTCACACACTTACAAACAACGTTTACAAGAAGAGTTTACACAGCAGACTTTCGATAGATTCCTGCCGGACACCATTAGATATACAGCTAGTGTATATATAAGATGTTGTTTCTTGACCTACCGCATGCAAACATGCATGGTTTCTGGATATGATTCAAACTTGAAATAGCGAGAGAACGAAGTATTGATATTTAAATGAGAGAAATCTCAGAAAAAATATGTCGCATTCCGCAGGTACCAGTCACTTGTGACAGACACGTGTCTTTGTAGAGTTATCGTTCCTTACTGAAACTGTTTGATAAATATATTTTTAGTTGTTTTTCCTAAATGGAAGTCTTTTCGTACATAAATGATTTTTTCTCCGTTAAATAGTGTATTAAAGGAAACAATGTATTATTCAAAATATCAATTTTAAAGCTATTTTTTCACAGTATGAATAAGCAAACCACTCAGATACAACCTGTATAACTTTCTAGTATATTCACTGGAATTTAAAATATTTCAACATTGTCACACATTATGTGGTTACGAAGAAGAGAACATCGTAAATTAAGGATTGTTTGTAGATCCACATATGTGGATGCGAGTAAATTGAAAATCTAGTTACCGAGTGACAATGTCAGTAAGATGTCAAACATGTATCATCTTCAATCAGACAAAATTGTAATACAAACGTGCACATGGTATACTTCAGGAAGTCAAAATGGGAAAAAAATATTAAAGTTAAAATTCCAGTGTAAGTGAGGCACATACATCTTCTATACAATCAGATAAAACATTGATAAATCCCAGAGAAAAGACTGTTCGCTTGTGAAATTCGTGGATGAAACAGGTGGTTTTATCACTGACTTTGGAGATACTAAAACCTTAATCCCATGTAGGTAATCATACTGTACATTGTATACATAATCAATAAAATGTCAATTGCATAGCGTAATAAATCCCAGAAGTCATCGCGTCGTCCCCATGGTTATTAAGACACGGGACCCGATAAGATAAACAAAGGTATTGGTCCAGGGATTGAGGGTATCGCAGGTGTAGAAGTTGACAGCTAGTAGAGATTTCCCTTTAGACGAACGGTAGAGTGTCCGGCCAGAGACCGAAGGGTCGCTAGTTCGAACCCTAGCGGTGGTAGTGTGTTTTCCATTACTCCTTCCTATTACACAGGCTATGATACTTTGATTTATTTCAATATTTCATCATCGTACCGTTACTTGTGGCACTTACAGAGTCTATGATATTTTATTGGATTCCAGGATGGCAGCAAACATGATGATGGCTAATGGGACCTGGCGACCATTATGGCAGATGGCTTTCGGAACCCTTCCGGTGGAGGAGTTTTTCACTCCAATGGGTGGATCATTGATGTACCTAACCATAACAGTTCTCTCGGGCGTTATCCTAAGAATATTAAGCAAATTAATTCTCCATCCAGTAATCAGCGAATATGTCTGTGACTTTCTCGCTACTATGGAAATGTGCGCGTACTTTTATGAAAACAATTTCATTTTTAGTCATTATGGGTCTGGTTGGCTTTTCGTTGCAATCGTCATCGAATGTCTCATCGCCAATAGGACCTATTTCGGTGCATCTGAAAACCCAGTTAAGTCCTTGTATTCATTATGTTTGAGAGAAATTGGTCCAGTGAAGGCCGTGGTGAAGATAGCCTTTCAAACTTTGGCTGGATTAGCGTCTTACAAGTTCGCCCGTCTGGTATGGTCCCTGGATATGGTACCTGACCATCGTGACAGGTACTACGAGACAAGTTGTGTAACCGACCTCAACGTCACCTTACTGGTCGGTATGGGAATAGAGTTAGCCGCAACACTCATCGACACCTGGCTGGGAATGCAGACTGTAATGAAAAACTCCTTCATAGACGAATTTATCAAAGTCGGAAATGGTGCCTTGATGATTGTAATCGGTAGGTAAAAGTGTGGTCGCCAGACATAATACCTATGAGACCGAGGTTCGATTCCCCGATAGAATGGTGACTTTATTGAAGGTCATCTGTCAACCGACATCGTAAATTTCTCTTCTGATCATTTTTTTTATTTTATTGAATAGATAAGATATGTATAAAAGTCATGTTGGTTTTCCACGGGGCTCCTATAGAACTGCGGTGGAAAGCCTTCAGAGCTTATAACAGGTTGGCCGATAAATTAAAAATTAAAGCGTCGTAAATTATTTTTGAATCATGTCGCTAGAAATATAAAACTTGCCAAAATTACGTTTGCTTTTGAATACCTTTATAAAATCGTCTGCGTGATCGAAGTACTGAACTCTCCTTCGTTTTATTCAAGGAATCTCGACAACCGGCATGTACTTCAACCCTGCCATGGCTACTGGTCATCTTCTGGGATGTAAAGGTGCTTCTAACCAGGATCATCTGATCGTCTACTGGGTGGGACCATTCATCGGATGTATCATCGCTCTCCTCTTTGACCGACTTCTTCATATTGACGTGACGAAACCAAGGCCAGTCGCCAACGAAAAGAAGAAGCAGTGAGGCAATTTCGAACAGAAAATAACAGAAAAAAAATGAGAGAGTAGCCGAAATTGTGTTCAAATGTCATAGCTTTCAAATTCCATAGTGATATAAAGGGAACGAAAAAGGGCAAGAAGGAAGGACAAAATAGTATGGACAATTTAAGGAAATTATTCTTATATCTTACAGGTTTTCAGTAGTAATTGTTGAGGGTAACAAATTATTTAATTTCGAGTTAACCTAGAATGTGCCATGTTATTTCGAAATATTTATTACTTTTAGACAAACTAGGAGGCAGAAATTTTAAGTCAGTCCTCCATAAAGGAAAATCATTCATTTCTTTTAACTACTTGATGCATTTTTTCTGTTGTGCAAATCCCGACACGCGTGTGTGTTTAGAGTTAACTCCCTTAACATTCCAATATTTCTTTAATTAGGATTACCTCCCCTACTATAATTGTAAGTGACTTTCTCAACAGGAACTTGTGCCAATGAAACGATATTGAAAACATTTTAAAATAATTCCCTCTTGTACTAGAAAGACAATACTAGTTCGTTCATATAAATTGATCGATGAGCTATTATCAAGGTTGTGTTGCGGTTAAAACCTATCAAATTCCTTCCACGAGTATGCTGTGATAACAATAGAACCTTTATATACTAGTTGCATAAAACATATTGTTTACATGAATTTTTTTGCATATACCATTTTATATGTGCACTGCTGATGAAATAGTGGATTGTTTTTATTACTTTTCCTATTAAAAACTTTTAAAATACATACATACACTGTTTAATATTTGTTTTGAAGACAATACAGCGGTGTTTTTTGTTTTTTTGTTTTTTGTTTTTTTTTTGTTTTTTTTTTTAAATCGTGTACATATTTTCAGCAGAAAGCTGATGAAACTGGTGGCAAACGGTACACTGTATCAACATGCGAAGGTGAGAAGTGAATGGCGAATGACAAGTCGCCTTCCCAAAATGACGATAGATTTTAGATAGCATATAGGTGCAATGACGTAAACAACTTTAAAATGTCAAAATGATCAAATTAGAACCGAATCAAACTAATTTTATTGTATAAATGATATGTACAAAAGGAATCGAACCCAAGTTATCACAACTTATCAATGTCCTCTCCATGATACGATCGTACAGGAAAATTGTGTATAGTTTTCACTTTATATGACATGGAAACCTGTTACAAGACGCAGTGAAATCATTAGCCCAGACAAATCTATTATTACGGCTTATAGAATATTGCAGACGATGGGAAAAAATAACATTTCATATGTATTTGCTATTTGAAATTGCTAGTATAACAATCGTTTAATACATATTTGACCTTTAACCCTTAGCAATGACCACAACAATCTAACCAAATATGGACCTCGTTGGTTATATTGTGTAAGTGTGAACCAGGTCTGCTCTCAGATCCAGACATAAACACGGCAGCACAGACAAAAGCGATCAAAGTGAGTGTATAATCTAGGTGGTATTGTGTGAAATCTTGAGTCAATCATTTTATTTCCCCACTCTTTTTATTTTTTCCCCAATAGATTTAAATGTTATAGTACAAATTCTTACGATGAAAGTGACTCTGATGTACATTACTTCTATGTTAACATAGCGTCTGATAATTATGCGATGGAAACTGAGGGATCATTCCAAATGTTTTCAGAAGCCGATAATGATGACCATATTTTTGAAAAGAAGTCTAGCACTCACATTCATTTGCATAGTAATAATGTTAACTCTGTTTTAGACCAACGCATTCAAGTAAAACTGGGAGAAAACCCACAAACAAACAAAAAAGAAAAACAGGATATATCGACGCTTATCTATATTCATGGAATGTAGATGGAGTGGCGCCGAGAAATAACTTGAGCCGCAGTGCAGAAATTGATAAAAATGCCTGTCAAACTAATGTGACACGGAACTCATCGGAACGGTAAAAAAGAAAATACCGACATGCCAACAGATTCTTAATTAAAACTCAAGTCCGATGGAACCAGTACACAATAGGAACAAATAGAATATTTACTCGGGAATCCCGAAAAATTACAAGGAGAATAAGATTAGGTGTTCCAACAGAGTAAGCGTCTTTAGCTTATAGGTCATGACTATTTTTAGGTACTTTTGATTAAACACCTGTATCGCAGGCTGGGTCAATACATGGTTAGCCAGGAACGTTCTAGGTATGCTTGTTATAAAATTGTTAAAATATTTGATATATGAAAATTACAGTATCTAGTCAATTATATCGCTGCCTGCGTCTCCCCGTCTAAAGTGTTACATATATTTCTATAGTGTGGGTTTTCCTTAGTCGCCTCCTAGGCTTCACAATTTTGGCCCATATCATCACTGACGAGTCCTAGCGAGTGAAGGACGAAACAGCTGTATGATGCAGTTTAATTCATCGTTTGACTTTCCTGTATTTAACTCTTAGGTTATCAAAAGGTACTGTTCGCTTGCGTGTCTTTTGTATAATCTTAACAAATTTCCGTTTGTCTATCAAAAACGTTGGTATTTGTGATATGGAATAGATGGATGTAAATACTGTTTTAATCATATCATGTCTGCTTATCATATCACCAAATACACTCCGTATAGAAGACCGGAACAGAAATTAATATAAGCTTTCAGCTTGTTTTCATTTCCCTATTGTCGAAAACACGTGAGACTCGGCTTTGTCGATAGGTACACGCCTTTCCTAAGCAATAAAGAATCAACAGGTTGCTTCTGAAAGGCCTTGAACTTGACAACATTAAAGCGTTCGGTGACAGTAGCTTTAGAACTAGACGCCGCCATCTTGGAAATTTATGGAATGACGTACCACAAGAAACGGCGATTCTGATTGCTCCACCTTCCTAAGAATGGAATTCACCGTTCCCGACAACGTCCAATCCTATATGTATTATTGTTTAAACTAAACAATGACTTAATCTGTAAGAAAACTTCAACCTGAACAATATTTCACTGGTAAGGATTTTTATAGTTTGATATTGTTTAACCTGCTGTCAACAACTGTAGTCGTTCATGGACAGTTATCCCACGTGTTGTGAGCGTGTGGTTGTGGAGGTCTGTGATATCTCTTCGTGCAAGTCTCCTTGTGATAGTGCGGAACAGCAACCGACTTAATAGTGTTCCCGCTCTGAAGTATTCTGTTAATGAATATAGTTTGTAATATTATTTACATTAATGGTAATTTACTTGTAAAAATTGTGGTAATAAACATGTATAGTATTATTATTGTCTCTATTTAACTACAATGTAATACTACACAAGCCCCTCCACAGAAAAGAGCTACATGTCCCTGTGTTGTAATACCGGTTTTAGTAATGCCGTTGTGCTTTAGACAAACACATTTCTCAATACGTATCAATATAATTTTCCTGTTTCTTTCAGCAACCATGAAAAATATTTCTTTGAAGATTTAGTAGTGTTATTGCATGTACCATTTAGATGTCTCAAATTCAGGCACCGGAAGACTGCAACGATAACTCTCTGGTATATATCCAGGATTGATAACGTTACCATGCCAAGAAATGTAAAAATTTCCCGTGAATTCGAAAATCATTCCATCTTCATCCGCACGTGAAAAGAATTCCCAGTCTTAGAGACTTTGTAGGAAGCCAAGAGGCGAGGATCAATGGAATCATCCCTGCACGGACACGTGATTTGTCGAGCGCAATTTATTCATTTATTTATTTATTACGCTGTTTATGAAGAAATATTTACTGCACTCAATATCGGGAGGAGAAATGACGATAGGGCCAAACATCGTATCTGATTCTGAATAAGTATAGATATCTGATAAATACGTCCATATATATAAGACATAGTTACCAACAGTAATCAGAGTAAAAAGTAGCTCAGTCTTTCAATCAAGAAATTCTGGAGACGGTGTTATATATACTTTTCCGTAGTGTCTGTTTGAGGAAAAGAAAAAAAACAAAAACATTTACAAGAGAATGGTGTGCTTTTGAAAAATAAATTACGAAAACAAACAATCTGTTGGCACTACTTCAGATAATTGAAGAATATGAAATACCAAGCTAGGTTCAAACTAAATGACCACGGCTGCCGCGATCTTGATATAAATTCCGGAGGGTGTGAATAAAATGCTACACTACAACCAATAGAAAAAAACTCAGTCGATATTACATTACGTTATCGAATTCCTCAATGGTAACGGGATTCATTATTCTATTTCGTGTCAACATTTATATGCACAAGGGATTGAATTTATTCTTTGCCCGTCGTGTCTAAGTGGAGGTCGTTGTACGATTGTTTGCTGGATAAGTGTAATAACTGTTGTACTCTCATCAGTCTGTCGTGTCCTTGTTAATAGTCTCTCTTTTATGATAAATTTACGACCAGTCGGGCGAAATCTAATCACATGTTTTTAAGCATTTATTTGTTTTAGACTGCAACTGAAACGATCCATGATTGTCTGATAATATCGACCGGTAGTTCCAGAAAATATATTGTATCAGTGCATCTCAATTTTGATACAGAGAGATCTCAAACCAGGGCATGAAACCAGGGCACGGGAGTGGAGATGTCAAATTCACAACTGATCTCATTTCGACAAAACTGCGCGATATTTTTAGAATTTTTCTTAATGATTTTGATGCATATCTCATTTCCAAAGCACAAGAAAGTTAAACCGGTTGAAAAAAGTAACTCTAGTCGAAAAGTATGTCACGGTGACCTAACGTACTAAGTGCTTAAGAAAGTGAGAGTTGGGAAGGGGGTCCTTTTGGACATTTCAAAGTCAACAAATGCTTTGGTCGAGTTCAGAACTGTCTATGATACAGTAGTAAATGGTTGTATTTTAGTTAAGTGAGTTTAGAGATTTTGACTTACATGTAATGTCATACTCTGACATATATATGTAATGTCATACTCTGACATATATACACACACACACACACACACACATATATATATATATATATATATATATATACCATTAGTAATAATTTCGGTGGTGGTCCTTTTATATGTGAAAAGACTATCAACATGACCTGTAATGTAGTTTGTGATGTGGACTATGTTCCATAATCCACACACAGAATCACAACCCCTACCCCTACACCACACCTCCGAAAAAGATAACCTACACCTTACATCACACACACCCACACCACACCCCACACCACACACCGACCCCACACCAAACACTACACCATACACCCCACACCACATCCCCACACCACACCACATCCCACACCACACCCGACACCACACCCCCACACCAAACACCGACCCCACACCAAACCCCACACCATACACCCCACACCACACCACACCCCCACACTACACAACACCCCACATCACACCTCACACCACACCCCAACACCGCACACCGACCCCACACCAAACCCCACACCATACACCCCATCCCACACCACACCCCCACACCACACCACCTCCCACACCACACCCCACACCACACCCCCACACCACACACCGACCCCACACCAAACCCCACACCATACACCCCACACCACACCCCCTCACCACACCCCACACCACACCCCCACACCACACCCCGACCCCACACCAAACCATACACCCCACACCACACCACATCCCACATCACACCCCACACCACACCCCCACACCACACCGACCCCACACCAAACCCTACACCATACATCCCACACCACATCCCACATCACACCCCACACCACACCCCAATACCACATCCAACACCATGCCCCACACCGCACCCAACACCACCCCCACTACCGCCACACTACATCCAACACCACAGCTAACATTATACCCCACACCTCACACCACCCCCACATCGAACCCCACAC